TTGGGTTTGAGACTTTAGTCTTTGCAACTTTAGGGATCTTATCTATTCATGAACAGCTTGTAAGACTCCAAAGAGAAAGGAAAACTTGAAATTGCATCATATGACCCCTTTAAGGTTTTTTTAATTAGGCTATTTATTTATTTATTTATTTTTTAAACAGGTGGAATCGCCTTTCTACATCCATGACCCAGCAAGCACAAAAGGTTTTTTTTTTTTACAACATTTAACTGTTTTGCATTTTGGGTGCAGTACAGGGGCGTAGCGTTTGCATGGTATGCAGGTGCATATGGGCCCGGGCAGATTGGGGGCCCGTCAAGCCAAGGGGGAACTTTTAATTGAAACAAGGGAACGAATATAGAGCCCTGCACGGGCCCGGCCCTTGTCCAACAGCTTATCAGAATTCTCCGCCCGAGTCCGACCTGAGTCCGGGTGTCTTCTCTCTCTCTCTCTCTTCCCCTTTACACAGCTGCTGTTGCAGCCATAAAAATAGTTCAGTTTTGGTTTTTAATGGCAAAGTGGATATATTTCGTTTAGTTTCTTTATTAAGTTACTTTAGAAACACGACTGGAACATGTTGTTTCATCGCCTTGGAATTACAAGGTTCTGTCTGACATTTTTGTCAAAATGGAGTTATTCACATATTCTTATTCTGTGACAACTTATTTACATTATGTGATGTTTCTTTTGTAAGATGTGTACATTTTGGGCCTTTTTTGTAGAAAACAAAAAGGGTTCTATCTACAGAAGTCTATGGAACTCAAAAACCTTGAAGCTCAATATTTCAAAACTGCTCAGAATGCAGATAGAAACTTATAATTCCAAAGTAGCGGTTTGTTAAATTCAAGTTTTTTTTTTTTTTTAAATACCAAGCGGCTAGCGCCAGACAGTGAGTGAGTTGAGCATATGTTTGATCAGTTTAGCCTTCTCAAATCAACACAGTTTGAGACATAAAAACTTCATGCATTTCACAATATAAATTTAAATATTTAAGATAAATGTGTGATAAATATCCAATCCTTTGTGCTAAGAGTGGAAGCTGAAGCGCGCTTTGCAGGACATGGAGGCACCAGCACTTGAATTTTTTTCATAATATGAGTGGAAACTTAAAATACGCCATAATTTTTCCTCATAAAGGTAAGAGTATACATCATTCGGAACTGCAAAGTGTCTACTTTTATTTGTGTGCACTCACAATATCAACAAAACGTTGTGCTTTTGTAAAATAAAGAAAACAATCAGGGTGGCTTTCTGCAGTCAGTCTTGCGCTTCTGAACCGAAACTCAGTAAATACTTGCCTCACTGACATGATAAATATATTTATAGAATGCTATAAATTACTACTTTAAAACGAAATAATTCAAATAAAAAATGAAAAACTCTTTCATCATGTAATCCTTAAAGATGCATTTCTCTCTAAAGGCATGTCCAATGAGGAGATGGGAGTCAGGATAGTCAACTTAATACTATTTTTTTAATTTTTTCTTTTTTGGGGGGGTCGCTCTGCCAAGATTGTGTTTGCATGCAGTACAAATAGCTACAGCAGCATTTTAGTGCCACGCTGAAAAAATAACTCATAATATTCGAATTTTATTACGATAATAAAATCATGTTATATTGCATGAAGTTAATGTGAAAATTACACCTATACTCCGCCAAAAAAAAGTCTGTGGCATCCAACCTGTCATTCTTCACATTTAACACGAAAAACAGCAATAAATTGTAGGCTTATTGATGTTTTTGTAACTCTCATTGATCGATTTCATGAGACATTCGTTTGTATTAAATTGTTCTGATTTATTTTTCCAGTATGCATTCAAATATTTATTCATGCTTATTTTGTGCTGCAAATCTATCTATCTATCTATCTATCTATCTATCATCTAATTACATTTTATCATTTAAACTGTGAACATAAAGAGACAACTGGCGCAAAAGGCATACATTTCCCTTTCAAAATAAATAAATACATTAAAAAAATAAAAAAATAAAAAAATAAAAAAATAAACCCCGCGCGCAAAGGGGGTCTAAAGGACACTTTCACCTCATGACAAATTATATAGGCTACTTATCAAAAGTTTGAAGAGTGTTTTCCCATTTCCCGTTTCTCCTCCTTGTTTACGGTTTCGGAGCTGGTTGTTACACAAGAAGGTACAGAACCGACCCTCATCGCGAGATTTGTAGTGACGTATGTGATAGAACTTGAATAAATAAAGCAATAATAAAATAATAAACGACAAAACACGTCTTTAATGCTATTACATATGTAGCCACTAGTTGGCATACAATTACCATACAAAACAACTGTCAATCACATGTAATACACTGTAATCATGAAAATGAATCTTTTTGTTGACTTAAGTAATATGTCACACATTTAAGCTGTATTAAGTCATACTGTTTGTATTTGTAAAGGCCTATGTAAAAAGGTAGGTTAACTTTCTGTGCTTGCAAACTTAACAGTATCACAAGTGACATTAAAACATGTTTTTTTTTGTAAATGCAGCATCTACTAAATTTCTTAAATGTTAATTTTGTGTTGCTTATATCTGTCATATTCATGTTGCTCATATAATTAACACCCATCACTAAGTTGTAAAGCTGAAATGGTTCAACATTATATGATA